AAGTGCAAGCAGTAAATAACAGTGGTGAAATAACAGACAAAATATACTTCAAATGTGCAAGTTGCTTTTTATACTCCCTTGCAAGGCTATGGTAAAGGTGTAAAAATATACTTCAAATGTGCAAGTTGCTTTCTATACTCCCTTGCAAGGCTATGGTAAAGGTGTCCTGGTTTGAGAATGATGTACAGATTAAAAAACCTTCTCCCTATGAGGTGGTGCACGTGCCATTGGTTTTTCATGTCATTTCCTAGTGAACAGAATCACAACTCCTATAAAGGTACTCTAAAGGACTAAATATGATTCAAAGCCAGAATATCTTTGATTCCAGTCCTAGTGGCTCTCTTTTCTGAACTGCATGATCAGATTGGTCAACATATACAGACATTTCTAAAGAAAAGGTAAAGACATTTTTATTCAGTCATTGGTTGACAGCTACATTGCAAAAACTCCTATATCAAATCTTTGTTGCTTGTAGTTAACTAAAATTTAGGAAGTGTCCAATTGCCACACATGGATTACCCTGTTATTAAATCCATCCTGTTTTCAGCTTCTCCAAGGATAGAGACCAATTTCCACCTCTGACTCATCCCCTCCTTCCCCCCAAAATCTGACTCCACAACATATTCTTAGGAACAGCATCAATCTTCAATGGCATTTACTTACCAGAAGCACCTCAGCCATGTCACAAAATGAAGGTACTACCAAATTCCATGGCAACTATCAATGTGTTTGAAACACTTTAAATGATATTGGAGCTTCTTCCTCCTCTTTGGTTTTCTTTTTTTTCTTTTCCCTCAGCTATCCTGCCTCACAAAGTCTGCAGTAAAAATAAATTCTTCTCAGCAGCTAACACATATTTCAGGTATCTTGTAGAATCTGTTAATTCTCTTTGCATGGCATTTTAAGCACTGTGAATGAGGTTATAAAATGCAAGTTAGAAATTCAAATCTTTTTAAGAGACAACTAACCACCTGACTGATACCCTGAATATTTTGCACAGATCAGGTTATTTTCAGATATGTAGAAGTACTTTTGCTGTTCCCAGTGCAGTAAACAAACATCAGTATTATGCCAACAGGAATCTGTGGGAAAATACGCCCGCTCACACAATCCCCACCTCATTACCAATTTTATTACTCATTCATTTTAGTAAACTCTAATCTAGGTTATGCCACACCCATCACCATGGGAATGTGACTTAAAAGCACCAAGAAATACCTTGCTATTCAGCTTTTTCTCAGTTGTGTGATCTGATTGCAGTCTCAACATATAAAAAGCATTAGAGTAGTTACCCTTGACAGATTAAAAACAGTAATTACAAGAATCTTCAATGCAGCAACAATATGGAACACTTGATAGGAACAGTGATGTATAAACAAGTACCTAAAAGATCAAAATTAATTCATTCCTAACCATAAGAGAAACAGCAGGGCTAACTCCCCATCCCTAATTTAACTGTATGTCTTACAGCAGAGGTAAATACAGTAGGAGTTTTACTTAATGGTTCTGCTTGATCTCCTCAGAGCATTATTCATATTGATCCCCACTTCCACAGAAAGGACACTTTGAAAACTAAGATTTAAAAGAACAATTTAAAAGATACTTAGTACCCAGTATTTTGTACCATTAGCCTTATTTCAAATTAATCACTAAAAATTAAACAAAAAAATTGCAGTTCCTGCCACAGGCTGCTTTTCTGAGATCAAAATATATACATCACAAAAATTTTATTTTAAGAAAAAAAAAAGTATTATAGGAGCTTTTGTAAGTTTTCTTGAAAATGTGAAAGGCAAAATAGTAACAAATGAAAGCACTCTACTCTCAGCTACGTTTTACTTTACCACATAAACCAAGAAATGTTCAGGCTAAGAGGGAATATGTTGGGGGTTTTTTTAATATATGGATTATACAGATCATTAGTGAAAAGGGGTTTGGATTTTAGCAGCCTCAGACTTGAAACTAAACATCTACAGATGTTCAAGATGGGTAGATTAAGAAAAAAAAAAGGTAAGCAGAGTTCTCAATATATGGTATAGGTGTCTATGTCAAATGTTTTCCACTGAACAAGCCCCAGGCAGCTCCTGGCTCAGCATTTCCTCAGGCCCCTGCTAACAGTCTACTCCAGTGCTTCTTCTGCCTGCCAATAACCAACTTGTCATACAGATTTTGGCTATATAGAAAAACATTCATACTACCTGTTTATTAATTCTAGTGATGTAATTAGAAAAGAATGATCACACATATCAAATGATACTTGATTTACCCCCCAAAACATTCCAGACAGGGATAATACAAAGACTAAAACGGAGTAAGTCTAAACACCTGCTAACAATTTTGCAAAAGAAGGACAAAAGCAATATAAAAATAATTCTGAGCACACAGACAACTTGTATTTACAAAAGCTTAGCACCCTTTGTTATGTCAAAACTGAATTCGTTAAATAGGAATAATCCCAGTCGTGGGAATTTTAACTGAACTGTGTCTGCAAGGGTGACAGTCTGCAACATGCTTCCAGTTGCAGCAGAGCACGGGTCAAGGACAAAAACATTTGCTGACTTTAACAGTTAGTCCAGTCACTTTGGACAAAAATTCCACTGGAAACAAAATGCGGATCTAAACACAGTTCATTCCTGCCCTAAGTTGCCCCAGATAATATCTGCTTTAGACAGCAGAAGACATCATCTTCCCAAAAGGAAAAAATCCCTATCTCCAAGTAGTTTGTGTGCAGCAAATACAGGAGTGGCCAAAGAGCTAAAAAAATACTGAACAGTTCAAAATTCAAAGCCTTATAAAATTAAGGATTTAACATATTCAAACTAGGATTTAGCCATACTCAAATACCTTCAGTATCAATCTTGGAAGCAATAAAGTTAACAGCTACCTTAATGCTAAGTCTGAGAATTTGTACAAACATTGAAGACTCATCTATTCTGAGCAAGTAGGTGGAAGGGTGAATTATGAAGAATTTGGTGTGAACATACAGAGCTCATACTAATGAGTACTAAACATATAAAGAAGATTTTCATCTTGTGGCATCTGTAAGTACACAAGTACTCCTGTAAAGTTTGGGCTGTATGTCCTACTAAAGCAGCAGCATTTCATAAGAGCTATTAAAAAAATATGATCTGAGGTGTGGAGAGAGAACCTCATGTTTAAAGTATGAGCACCTCAACACACCCAAAGGTGTGTACCCTTTAAATCATTACCTCATGCCCTGCACCACAATATCATCCACCTGTGGATGCAGCACACAGCACATAATGGCTTGTGTAAATTGTCATTACTCCCTTTTAACTCCATGGGAAGAGGAGACATGGAGAAAGTACAACATCCCCAGATGCTTCTCAACAGACTTTTACTTCCTAAAGTGCATAGGGAAGCTGGAAGCAACATATTATTTTGTCACCCATTCCTGTTACAGAAAGTAATACTGCTTCTCCTAAAGAAGATTAAAATAAAAAACTTTCCATTTTAGCATATACAATGAACTTTTACCTTGACCACTTTCCAAATGCAACCAGATAAACTGAACTGGTTTATGCTGCAAAAAGCTTTTTCAGCCTCTTGGAAGACAAAGAGTTCATATATAAAGACACTGGTTTTCCCTTCCTGTAAAGTTTAGAGAAAAAGAAGGAAATAAATATAAAATTTTTAACTTCAAAAAAGCCTGGGGTTCTCTTAAGCATCCCAATGCAATGTACTATTACATAAGGATCTTTGGGAAATATGTACTATCTGCCAAGCCAAAAAATTTAAAAGATAAATTAGGTCTCTGAAGTTATATTATCAAAAACACCTTTGAACATCCCCACTTCACAAATCTTTCCTTATATACTTGAAAAGTCTATTTTTACTGTGTATCTCACTTGGGTAGGAAGACTTCTGCATTTATGTAAGGACGAATGCTTTCCCAGCTCCAACGCAGACTGGTAAGTCAGTCTAGTACTCCCTCTGTTGGCAATGCCAAAAATGTTCAGGCACGTCACCTACAAGTCCCTCAGAAGACAATTAGGAGAAGGGAAAAAAAGTGTTAGAGCAATTAATCAGCAGAATTACTACGATGTTAATCTTCAGCAAGTGGGCAATTCTTCAGATTATGAAAACTGAATGGAATGGCAAGGTTCTATTTAAGTAGCTGAAATAATTTTCACAGCTGCTTGATTATGAAAACCTGAGTTGTGACCCTTCCTAAAAGAGTTAACTTTTTTCAACCTCATTTTAATCAGCTTGTTTTTCTATTTATCTTCAGCAGCTGATTTCCAAAAAACAGCAGTTTGATGGTTTAGGACTCCCATTAAAAAATATTTCTATAAAAGCTCATTTATTAAACCTCTGTACACAACAATGAACATGTATGTACAGCAAGTTTACATGAAGGATGATGTTACAAAAGATACAGTGGTAATTAAAACTGACCCACATAAATAGTTTATAAAAATATTTGAAATGGTGACAATAATGGTGGTAATCCCTGATTATTTTCATCCAATTGCCAGGATTTTGATGTGGGAAATCTTAATGTTAAGACGTGTTTAAAAACATTCTGAATATATTAAACTTATCTACAGGATAATTAGCAAAATGTATAAAGTACAGATTATTGTACAAAGGACAGATATTAAAAAAAACATCACCAATCCACCTGGAACTTAAGGACAATAAAAATCTTAGCCAAAGTAAAGAACAGCAAACCACAAAGTCTTCAGAGTTTCATGTATTGGCAAGTAACTCGTTCTTAACAAATCAACAGTCCTGTTACTCCTTAGTGGAAGAATGTAATTTGGGAAAATTCTTCTGTATTTCCTGTGCACATTGGTGGTCCTGGTCAGTACAGAGGCCCTGCACTAACTTCAGTTCCAAGGAAGAACGGGGCAGAGCTGTATTTGTCAAGATGTTCTCCTTCCCACAAAAGGATGAGGAAGGTTATCCGAGTTTGTAAAACTGGAGGAGGGGAGAGAAGGAAGCAGGGATTTGGACATAACGAAACAAAGGAAGAGCAGTTAAGATGAAGTCTTTTTCTTTTGCTGGTTTCTTGGGGAATTTTTTAACACGCTTCTTATTCGCAGATAGACACCCGTTGATTCTGCCATATTTTCAAATTCAAATGGTGTTATCCCTTCAGCAAACTTGCTCATGTCAGGAACAAGACTGGAGTTCTTTGCAGATGACTTAATGTTTGTGACCATTTGATCACCACCCATATTTTCTCCATTGTTAATGTCACTGTTGGAAGCAGGCATGGTGTTATCCAGCAAGCCCTCAGAATCAGTGTTATCTGGATTTTCCTTTAAGTTAAGTAAACTATCTTCTGGATTAGGACTATTTAGAGAACGTTCCTTTTCTGCTATCTGTTCACTGATGTCAGAAAACCTCGTTTCCACTGTAATCACCTTGTCAGATGATCTTACTTCTGCAACAAGATCCACTTCATTCCTGGAAGGTGATGAGGTAACAGAATTCCCGGTTAAAGGTGTATCAACAGGAATGTCAGAGTCACTGTTTGTGCTTTCTGCCTGCTCTAGTGCTGCCCAGATTAATCGCTGCTGTTCCTCCAGCTCTTCCAAGGTCAGAGTATCCTCATCCATAACTGAGTCCACTATTTTTGGCTCAGGATTATCACTGGAAGGATTCGACAGTGGAGTAGTCCTGGGAAGAGGAGTGTGGGTGGGTGTTGAAGGTTGAGTTGGGGGTGTTCCTTGTGGTAAAGGAGGAGGAGTTGATAGTGACGGACTTCCAGGTGGCAGTGGAGGTTGGAACTCAAAACTGTTCTGAGTTTGAGGTCTTTGTGACACTTCCAGATCTAAAAGCAGATCAAAAAACATGAATTAAAATCTGAAATCTGACTAGGACAAGACACTTGATTAACTAGCTGTTCTGTGTCTTCTCATTCTTGGTTTTCAACTGAGACAGAAAAACAACTTGTGGAAGGTTTTAGGATCCATTGAACCTGTATTTCTGGGGACCTTAACTCTGCTAGCCACGCAAGGGGAAAAAAAAAACAAAAACATTCTTCAATGTATTAACAAGCCTATTCCACAGAGCCAGACTGAAGGCTTTCCTCATAGGAAATCCAAAAGGAAAGCCAGGAGTTTCTCTGATAATCTAACATTTAAGTAACACTTTGAAGTTCTCCTGTGAGTCTGACTCATTTTTAAGAAGCTGTGAGCTTGTAGCTTTCTGCATTATTTCATCCAAATATTTAAAGATATGGAGGTTCTGGTAACAGAAGCTTCTTTAGGATACACCTGAAGAGATCAAAATTTGTAACTTAATATTCCAGCTGCTCTGAACACACTTTAAATCCCCTACTTGGTATTGGAAGATACAACAATCACAGGACAGTGAGTACTTACTGTAGAGAGGCCCAAATGCCACTACAGTGGGACACAGCTGCTGTATGTTACCAGTTGCATTAATTAGCACCATACTGACTACTAACAATTTGGTTTCTCTTCATGAACTCTGACATTTCAATTCACAGCAAGTTATTTTGAAAATTAAAACAAAAATGAAAAAAAAAGTGGAGCAACTGTACCAGAATCCAGGTCCATGTCAGCTGCTGGTACCTCCAAACTGTCTTCTTTTGGTCGCTTTGAAGGATAAGAGCTGGACTGAGAGGCAGCCCTTTTATTGCTAGCTTTTGGACTTGGCTGAAGAGAAATTACCCAGGAAAACAGAAGCAGTTAGTGTTAAATTGCACAATGTAACATTTGCAGCCATAAGAACACACTTAAAGCAATTTCATAACTATACAACCATTTGGTGACCCAGTGTGTAGCCTAGACACTGAGGTTTGTGAGACTCAGTGCCAACTCAACAGAACTGGAGTCTTGTTCAAGTGGCAAAAGACTGTCTGCGCTCCTAACACAGGATTGCAACCAAGTTTCCACCTGGACCTTAGGTCTTAGGAGACCAGCACAGCACAAATACTGCATGTCCCTTCCTGGCAGGCTTAGAATTTACCAATTAGTTCCATACAGAATTACACTCTGGGACTCAGAGCAGAGCAAGTATCCTGTAGGAGACAACATCAGGCCATAGGCACATTAAAGAAGACTTGAGTGTGATACAGGACAGGACTACCAGGTGTTTTCTCAAGTCACTATGACAAGATTACTGTAAATCATGACAAGTAAGCTTTTCACTTAGTTGGGAAGTCTGGAACTTTAGAGTGTTTTTAGGCTGGAAAAGTTTATAGTCACCTTTCCCACAACCTTTTATAAAATACTGCACAGTTGGGATCTGCCTGTATTAACCAAAACACTGCAGTTTGTTCTAAACATGAAGCTCCTAGAACAGATAAGCCAAACATCAGCATTTCACACCCAGCAGTGTTAATAAGGAAGTCTATACCCTTGTGAAAAAGAGAAACAAGAGACCATAATTAGCTACACTAAGCACATGACAACTTTTTTTTTTTCCCAAGTAACAACGAGATGTATTCACCGCATGAAAATTAGAAAGGTAGTGAGCAAAAACATCCTTCTGTTGAGATGGCTGCATGGGGATGGAACCAAACATCTGCCACTCCTATAGAAAAGAAGAGAAATTGCATATGGTTGGCTACTAACATGGCAGTAGGACAGAGAAACACAGAGTTTAACAAGCCAAGGTGAATTCAAGTTCTCATCAAAACCTTATTTATCAGAGTAAATAGATCTTAAGTAGGAACTTCTGACAAACCTAAGTTCTCTCACCTGTGAATATAAACAATGATGCTATGCACTGTGACTGGCTAGTAGGAATAATTTTCTTTGAATCCTCTTTACACAATGTTAAGTATTTCATAGCAACTGCTTTCAACATTTGTAACAAACCTACAAACTTTCCCTTGGAACAACTCTTCAGGTGAAAAGGCTTACCTTGGAATTCAAACTGTTACTTTTTTAGTGAAAACTGAAAAAAAGTGACAAAAGAACTTGGGCTAATACTGAATGAAAACATATTTGGAGGCTACTAAATGGACAAATGTAAAGCTGCCAAAGAAAATGTACTTCTTAAGGCACAGGCATTAATATCAGTGATTAAGTTCACTACTAAGAGCAGGTTAAAATTCTTTTGAAAATAGAAGTGCAGCAGCAACCACAGGAGCTTCCTTGTGTGCTCTATGTGCTAGGTGGGTCTTTGGCTATGACTCATCTTGATGAGCTGTTACAAACCTTCCCAGAGACTGTGCACTGGTCTGATGTAGTTTTCTATAGTTGAAATTATATTTCTGGTAACACCCACAGTAACTGTCAGATGGAAAATACAAAATGTTATACAAAATGGCTAAAAGCAATTAATGTTACTCAGGACATGGTTCAGAAGGCAGAGGACAGCCACTTACATCTGGGATCCCACTTGGAGTGGATATATTAAAGCCTGGATAGTTTATCAGCTTAGAGACGTCGTAAGTGATGCGTTTTGGTTGACGAGATCCTTCATCATCTGTTCCACCATCATCTACAATGAAATATCATTATTATTGAGGCTAATTAAGAACCTTACTGAAAAAAACCCACAGGATTTCATAACTATTTTGGTATGTGAGGGTCAATAGAGGCTTTGTAATCCACAAAAGCAGTTACAGTGACCAGATCTATCAGATACACATGTGAAGCTGCCCCAGAAACCTAACTGGGTACTCAGTTATATTTCTCTTTATGTACCATAACTAGCCTCAGAATTTAGCATCAGGACTGTTCTCTGAGATGCAGCATAAATGTTGGTCATTAGTAAAAAGCTGATGGAATTATTTGATAATCTGAGGTTAAAGAAATCTATTATTTGCTTGCTGGTGGTCTTCTTACTCTTATGTAAGTTATTAAACTTTAGAAAAGTACCATAAAGAGAAGCTTATTAAAAATAGGAAGAGGAAATCTGACAACAGGCTATTTGCAAGGGTTGATTCAAATTAAATCACACTGGCAGAATGTTCATCTATGCAATCAAATAATTACACAAGTTGGTTCATTGTCACAGAATAGCTAGATGAGAGGGGAGGATTTTTACACTACTTAAGAAAACTTGATTCCTCACTTCCATGAGGAAGATGAAGGTTTCCAAACTAGACACTTTGTCTCCTGAAAA